CCTGTGGACAGGGGCAGCTGAACATGAGTGTGTTACCCCATTTCTGAGCTGTGGGTGGACCCACCAGGGCTGGGCCAAGGTTTTCAGGAGGCAGCTCTATTTTACCCAGCCATGGTGGCCTCCCTGAAAGGGGTGAGTGTAGAAGCTGGTTCCCTCTCCTGCGGGCCCCACCCCTACCCCAGGAGGACAATTGTTGTTCAGGGAAGGTCTCCCCACCCACTTCCCCACCCCACACTGGCCCACAGGCCTCCGGGCCCCACCCTAGCGAGTACAAGGGGATCCCCAGGCTGCTCACTGGCCCAGCCCTGCCCACCTGGGCTGCACCTGAAAGTGGGCTCAGAGAGGCCGTGTGGCCCCAAGACGCTGGTGGGTAGGAAGAGGCGGTGGCCTTGTGCCCGCAGCGCCCCTCCTGCCCCAAGGGTGTTGTCTACCTGGCAGGGCCTGGGGTGTTCACAAAGCCCAGGCACCTGCAGCTGAGGGCAGGGCAGGGAGCCACATCCAGGCGAGGGGGCCGCTGGATACAACCCCATCCGGACCTGCTCATCCTCCTGTGCGAGAGTGGGAAGACTCAGGCCAGCCCGAGCGGGCGGCGGCCCCAGCTGCTTGATCTAAGCTCTGCTTACACTGCCCTGCCCTTCCGGGAGAGGGGTGAGCGCCAACTGATGCCTGGGCTGTCTGGGCTGGGGACCGGGATCTCAGACCCAGCCCCTGCCCTGGACACGAGGAGTCAGTCGGGGGGACAGAGGGCTCGGTGGCTGGAGGACAAGGCCAGGGCACGGATGCAAGCTGCAGGTGCCACAGAAGTTTGCCCTGGGAGCCCAGGAGGGGCCCATGGGGCCCCAGGCTGGCCCGGGACAGAGGCGTGGGGTGGGAGTGGGGGACAGGGGATCCCATCCTGAGTCGCTGCCCTCTACAGAGACAGACCATGGCCTTGCCAACGGCTCGACCCCTGTTGGGGTCCTGTGGGACCTCCGCCCTTGGCAGCCTCCTGTTCCTGCTCTTCAGCCTCGGTGGGTACTAGGTGGGGCTGCTGGCGAGGCGGGGACGGCCCAGGGGCCTTGGGGGCTGGGCTCTCAGCAAGGCTTTGCCTGTCCCTACCTTCTCCCTGGACTGCCTGTGGTGGTCACGTCCCAGCAGCAGTCTCTGCCCCCAGAGGTGACTGGAGCTGGAGACCCAGCCACAGAGGGATGGGGCTCAGGACACAGTGGGGATGTGTGTGGAATGGGTGTCTGACCAGCCAAGCAGCCGGGTCCCAGGGGAGGATGTGGAAGGCCAGGCTCCCCGTGGAGTGCAGACCCCTGTGCCTGGGGGACTGTGATGTCACGGGGTACACGGGCCTGAGCCACTGGCTTCTGCCACTTTGGGGCGTGCACAGGGCTGGCTCTGGGGGTGGTCGGGCTCTGCCTCCTTCCTCCCCTGGGTCAGGGCACACCCCAGAGGCCCGGGCCCCCCCAAACCGTCCCCGCTGCCCCTTTAGGATGGGTGCAGCCCTCGAGGGCCCTGGCTGGAGAGACAAGGCAGGTAAGGTCCCCTCTGCGGAAACCGGGGAGGGTCTTCAGGTCCCGGGTGGGGGTGCCATGCCATGTTTTCTGTGTCACGTACCCACGGTGCCTGCCAGTTTCCAAGGTCCCTGCTTGCAAAGGGGTACCTGGACCTGCATACGACTGGCCTGGGAGCAGCCAGGTCCGGGGAGTAGCAGCCGAAACTGCAGCTGGGTCTGGGAAGTAGCTGGATGAGAAGTAGCCAAGCCCATGGGTCTGAGACACATCCGGGCCTGGGAAGTAGCTGAACTCGGGGAGTACCTGGGCCCAGGGGTAGCGGGACCCGGGAACTCCTGCTCCAGGGAGCTGGTCTGAGCCATGTTCAGCAGGCCCTGTGCCCCCAGGAGGCTGCGCCCCTGGATGGAGTCCTGACCAATGCACCTGACATTGCCAGGTGGGTCCGGGGTGTTCACAGCCCTCAAGGGTGAGGCTCGAGGGGCCCCGTCCCCCGCATCCCCTCCCCC